AAGAAGCAAATCAACCCCAGACAGAACCCTCTCCAACGCAAGACCAGCGCCCCGCCCACCGTCAAGCACAGAATGCCGGATACTCTAGGTACTCCTGCTTTGTTGTGTCCACTGTCTATCAAAAAAGCCTCTCATGTTATGTTATCTTAGTGTTCCTCCTTCCTGGTACTGTAGAGCCGCAGTTTGTGAGACGTTTTTCCCCAGCCTAGCACTAATGTACCTGAGTCCTATTCATTAGTGAGCACAGCGGAAAATGTAACAAGAGTTTCTTATTGGCCAAGTTCAGGTAGTCCCTCCCTGTTTCAGTGTCTTTTCTTCCCTTTGGTGCCAATTGAATATGACCAGGGTCTTGATGATTAAGTGCAGTGTTCCCCTTAGGATTTTTTAAAGCAGCGGTGGCAGAGTTAGCTGGGGGGAAGGAGGAGGGGGGGGGGAACGGGCCATGATTGTGGCCACGAGTTAGCAGCTAAATGCATATAGGGGAAACACTGAAGTGGTTAGTTGAATCAGGTGTGTTAGTGCTGGGCGGATTAGTCTTTGTGTACTACCACTAACACACACAGTTCCATGTATTATCCTGATTGGCTGTCCCTCCCTTCCGTCCTCCAGACTCCTCCCCCAGCAGCAGTAGCACTCCAGTGTCAGGGTGCAGCTCGCCCAATGACAGCCTTCTCTCGGACAGCCCACTTACTATCGGACTAACCCACGAGGTGAGCCCCTCTCAATCCCCCTTTCTCCTCCCACCCCCTCTCTCCTCCCACCCCCTTCTCTTTTCCCACCCCCTTCTCTCCTCCCACCCCCTCTCTCCTCCCACCCCCTTCTCTCCGAGGTAAAATGTAAGTACATTGCAACAATGAGTAATTACAATACTGTTTACTATAAGAATAATTTCACACTAATAAGACACTATACACTAATGTAGTGACCTAGTTGATGTGTACAATTTATGTTTGACTTTTGACTTTTTCCACATTTTGTTGTGTTACAAAGTGGGATTACAATGGATTTAATTGTAATTTTTTGTCAATGATCTACACAAAATACTCTGTCATGTCAAAGTGGAAGAAACATTCTAACATTTTTTATTTATTAATAGAAAATAAAACACTACTATATTTTTATTAGATAAGTATTCAACCCCCTGAGTCAATACATGTTAGAATCACCTATGGCAGCAATTACAGCTGTAATTCTTTCTGGGTTAGTCTTCAGATTTGCAAACCTGGATTGTACAACATTTGCCCATTATTCATAAAAAAATTATTCAAGCTCTGTCAAGTTGGTTGTTGATTATTGCTAGACAGACATTTTAAAGTCTTGCCATAGATTTTAAAGCCGATTTAAGTCAAAACTGTAACTAGGCAACTCAGGAACATTCAATGTCGTCTTGGTAAGAAACTCCAGTGTACATTTGGCCTTGCGTTTTAGGTTATTGTCCTGCTGAAAGGTGGATTTGTCTCCCAGTGTCTGTTGGAAAGCAGACTGAACTAGGTTTCCCTCTAGGACTTTGCTTGTGCTTAGCTCTATTCCTTTTCTTTTTATCCTAAAAAACTCCCCAGTCCTGAACGATTACAAGCATACCCATAACATGATGCAGCAGCCACCATGCTTGAAAATATGAAGAGTGGTACTCAGTGATGTGTTGTGTTGGATTTGCACCAAACATAATGCTTTGTATTCAGGACAAAAAGTTAATTTGCAGTATTACTTTAGTGCCTTATTGCATGTTTTGGAATATTTTTGTTCTGTACAAGCTTCCTTCTTTTCACTCTGTCATTTAGGTTAGTATAGTGGAGTAACTACAATGTTGTCGATCCAACCTCAGCTTTCTCCAATTACAGCCATGTAACTTCCTTTCCGTCAACTGGATTAGTCCCCTGTAGCTCAGTTGGTAGAGCATGGCGCTTGCAACGCCAGGGTTGTGGGTTCGTTTCCCATGGGGGGCCAGTATGAAAATGTATGCACTCACTAACTGTAAAGTCGCTCTGGATAAGAGCGTCTGCTAAATGACTGAAATGTATTGTAAAATGAAGGACGCCTTTATCTTTCTAGTGACTGGGTGTAAATTAACCCCCTAGAGTTTAAGCCTGGGGGAGGGGTATGGAATTGTTTTAAGATGGTCATACCATTTACGTTGATTTAGAATTTTAGGAAACATTGAATTTGGCCTTAATGCTATTAGCCCATACAAACGCATTTGAATTGTCTGGCCTATATTTTTTGGGGGGACACATTTAACCCCTTTTTTAGGCACTAAACTACTTCCATAAATGTTTTTAACTGGTACTGGGCTACCTTAAAACGACTCTTGTGAGACTTGTGGGCGTCCTAGGTGAGCGTCTCACCTTTCCATAGAGGGGTCATATTAGTGTGTAGCCCAAGCTGTGCGGACGCTACAGACAGAAGTTGGCAGATCGGCGGTACTGACTTCAGACGAGTCCTGTGACGCTTGTGGGGGTCGTAGAGCAAAGCGGAGAACACCATCATATGTTCGAGGGAGTCTCATCATTTCATAGAGGGGTCATACAGACGTTTTCGTGAGAAGACCAATATTCGGGATGCGACTTTCTGGTCTGACAACACCGCTGTAGAACTGCCACCTTTCACCGCAGATGCGAAAGGCCAACATCGGCTGATGCGGTGGATTGCCCATGCAAAAAAACAGATATCTCTAGCTTAAACAGACTGATTATTTAAAATCTAAATGTAATCCATTTTAAATTCAGGCTGTAACACAACAACATGTGGAAAAAGTGAAGGGGTGTGAATACTTTCTGAAGGCAGTATAGTATGTGTCTGTTCTGCTCTATCCAAGAAGCATCATCATCAACATAATTAACATTTCCATACTTGATTGAGCCATTTCCTACCACACACAGTGTCACACAATGTCCCATTCACTACCACAATGGCACACGCACTAGATTTCAAGAGCACAGTTGTTTCAGAATCTTAATATAAGAGCAGTATGAGGTTTAGGGTCAAAATTGGATTTGGATGCCCATGAGGTTTAGTGTGTGTGTGTGTTCCGGTTTAAAACAACTTTATTAGCTTTAAAATGGTAGCCCAATTTTGAACTTTTACCAATGATTGGTCTTTTGAAAGATCAGGATTGGGCTGCCTATGTAAACGCAGACAAATGTTCCCCCCCATGGGATTGTATTCCTTTACTATTACAGATAATGTATGTCATATCTTTGAACACTGTCCATTTCAAATACTGAAAGGGAGGGGGTGTGGAGATTTGGGACTTACACTGCATGACCAAAAGTATGTGGACACCTGCTCGTCAAACATCTCATTCCAAAATCATGGGTATTAATATGGAGTTGGTCCCCCCTTTGCTGCTATAACAGCCTCCACTCTTCTGGGAAGGCTTTTCACTAGATGTTGGAACATTGCTGCGGGGACTTGCTTCCATTCAGACACGAGCATTAGTGAGGTCAGGCACTGATGTTGGACGATTAGGCCTGGCTCGCAGTCGGCGTTCCAATTCATCCCAAAGGTGATCGATGGGGTTGAGGTCAGGGCTCTGTGCAGACCAGTCAAGTTCTTCCACACCGGTCTCGAAAAAAACATTTCTGTATGGACCTCGCTTTGTGCACGGGGGAATTGTCATGCTGAAACAGGAAAGGGCCTTCCCCAAACTGTTGCCACAAAGTTGGAAGCACAGAATCGTCTAGAATGACATTGTATGCTGTAGCGTTAAGATTTCCCTTCACTGGAACTAAGGGGCCTAGCCCGAATCATGAAAAACAGCCCCAGACCATTATTCCTCCTCCTCCACCAAACTTGACATTTACATTTTACATTTTAGTCATTTAGCAGATGCTCTTATCCAGAGTGACTTACAGTTAGTGAGTGCATACAATGTATACATTTTTTATACTGGCCCCCCGTGGGAAACGAACCCACAACCCTGGCGTTGCAAGCGCCATGCTCTACCAACTGATTGTAATTAGCTGGTTGATAAGCTGAACCATACTACGTTCATAACCACTATGCACTACGCATTCGCGAAACCCAGATTTGTCCATCGGACTGCCAGATGGTGAAGCGTGATTCATCATTCCAGAGAACACGTTTACACTGCTCCAGAGTCCAATGGTGGCGAGCTTTACACCACTCCAGCCGACGCTTGGTATTGCGCATGGTGATCTTAGGCTTGTGGGAACCCATTTCATGAAGCTCCCGACGAACAGTTATTGTGCTGACGTAACTCCCAGAGGCAGTTTGGAACTCGGTAGTGAGTGTTGCAACCGAGGACAGACGAATTCTACGCACAGGGCAGAAATGTGACAAACTGACTTGTTGGAAAGGTGGCATCCTATGACGGTACCACGTTTAAAGTCACTGAGCTCTTCAGTAAGGCCATTCTACTGCCAATGTTCGTCTATGGAGATTGCATGGCTGTGTGCTCGATTTTATACACCTGTCAGCAAAGGGTGTGGCGTAAATAGCCAAATCCACCTAATTTGAAGGGGGAAGAGAGAGAGGAGAGCGAGAGAGAGATAGAGAGAGTGAGTGGAGAGCTCAGCTCTATTTCTATACGAGCTATCTATCATCTCATCTCTCTCTCTCTCTCTCTCTCTCTCTCTCTCTCTCTCTCTCTCTCTCTCTTCAACAGGCCTGTTTAAAACATTTGGCCACCCGGCTGTACTGTACTGTGCTGTACCATGAATATTAGATTAGTGTTAAACTTTTCAGTTTCCCAAGAAAATATTTCACCACCAGATTTCAGCAAACTGACGTTTCTTTCTGCTCTTACACTTACACTAAAGGAATGAAACTGTCAAACTATTCTAACAGACATTGAACCCTTGAGGACTGAAGTTTGATACCCCAGCAGTTAGTAATTGAGTGCATACTACCTACAGTAATTGAATCAAGTTTAAATGACTATTGTTGTTTGAGTTAACACTACTCAATTTAGTTAGTGTGTTTAGCAGTTATGTTTGAATGTTTTGTGTTTTCCGGCCCTCCCTCCCTCCCTCCCTCAGGCTCAGAGGTTGCTACTCCAGGATGGTACGCTGGCCTACTTCATGGTGCCCTGCTCCACCGCCCTGCCAAGCATCAGCACCGGGCTGCCCGGCCAGGGTGATAGGGAAACGGGTAGTCATCAGAGGGTGGCCAGGGTAATGCCCCAGATCTACCTGCCCATGGAGAGACACAGTGCTGCCCACCAGCACCTCCAGCCCCTGTTCATCCTGGAGCCCTCAGGACCTCCGCATACACAGCTAGTAACTGGTGAGACACACACAGATATACATACACGCACGCACACACACACACACACCTGTAGTAATCCTGGAGCCTTCAGGACTGCTGCATGCACAGCTAATGAAACACACATAGAGCGACACTGCCCTCTATCGACCGTTTGACTGAATGCCAGTTACTTCATCCACTAATCCACTGATCTATTTCCTGGTTACCCAGACTCATCAAACTGATCTATTTCCTGGTTACCCAGACTCATCAAACTGATCTATTTCCTGATTACCCAGACTCATCAAACTGATCTATTTCCTGATTACCCAGACTCATCAAACTGATCTATTTCCTGGTTACCCAGACTCATCAGACTGATGAGCCCCCCGTGTAGCTCAGTTGGTAGAGCATGGCGCTTGCAACGCCAGGGTTGTGGGTTTGATTCCCACGGGGGGCCAGTATGAAAATGTATGCACTCACTAACTGTAAGTTGCTCTGGATAAGAGTGTCTGTTAAATGACGTAAATGTAAATGATCTATTTCCTGGATACCCAGACTCCTCAAATGGATCTATTTCCTGGTTACCCAGACTCATCAAACTGAGAGTTACAGACAGAGAGACATCAGGATCATCATGTTTGACTAAAAAAAGAAATTGGACGTTGTCTCTTGACCAGAGAGGAAGCAGACTCTGTTGTGGGAATGTTTTGATCTAGGCATGTGGATCATTCACTTGATAATGTTATAGATATGAGGACATTATCTAGTGAATGATCCACATGCCTAGATCAAAACATTCCCACACGAGTCTGCTTCCTCTCTGGTCAAGAGACAACGTCCATTTTCTTTTTTTAGTCAAACATGATGATCCTGATGTCTCTGTCTCTCTGTCTGTAACTTCTCGTTCTCTCCTCTCCCCCCCTTCTCTCTCTCCTCATTCCCTCCCTCTTTTCTTCTCTCCTCCTCCACCCTCTCTCTTTCCCATTTAACCCCCTCTCTCTCTCCTTCTCTCTCTATCTCTCCCTCCTCTTTCTCTCTCTCTCCCCCTCTCTCTTTCCCATTTACAAACCCTTTCCCTCCTTCCTCCCCCTCTCTATTTCTCTCTCACTCCCTCCCTCTATCCCTCTCTCTCCCCCTTCTCTTTTCCCCTCTCCCTTCACACCTCTCTCTTCCTCCAGTGCGAGGCCTGAGCCCAGGCCCTATCCAGTACCCCTCCTCCAGACTGGAAGGCCTGGCCCCCTTGGGCCCCCACAGGCCCCTGGGTCGGACCCGGTCTGAGCCCCCACTTCCCTCTCACCACCACCAGCAGCACCAGCTACTGCAGCAGCACCACAACGCTCTGCAGCTGGAGAGACTCAAACAGAACACACACCAGGTGAGAGATTGGACAGATTGGGCACACACACACACATACCTTGGGAATTTTCAAGCAACACAGACACACACACACAGTACAAAACATATATCTAGATGCTGCGTAATAGTACTAGTGAGACATGAAGAAGAAGAGTGAAGACATGCATGATGACCTTTGACCCTGTGTCCCTCCTCAGCTCATGACCAAGTCCAGTGAGAAGCCTCATCTCACACAAATCCCCTCGGAGGACATGGACCCAGAGGAGACCAGGTCAGGGGAGGGCGATGGCTACCAGAGAAGTAGACAGAGTGGCACCAGCAGCACTGAGTCAATGTGGGACACAGAGTCTAACTCCTCACGAGACAGCCAGGGGGAACATATCAGGAAATACAGACCTCTGATGAATCAGGTACACGCTCTCACGCATGCACACACGCATACACACACATACACGCACACATACACACATACACGCACACACACACACATACACACATACACACATACACGCACACACGCACACACACACATATGCATCATAGAAGGCTGGTTGGAGGAGCTATAGGAGGACGGGCTCATTGTAATGGCTGGAATGGAATTAATGGAATGGTATCAAACACATCAAAGATATGGAAACCACGTTTAACTCTGTTCCATAAAGTCCATTCCAGCCATTACAATGAGCCCGTTCTCCTATAACTCCACCCACCACTAATATGCATGCATGCACGAGCATGCACACACACACACACACACACACACACACACTCACAACACACATGAAGTGCTACGTAGGTCATATATACAATTATTCAATTAGTCCCACTCTCAACTACAGCTTCAGTTCAGACCACCAGTTTGGCTCACCAATAGAGGGCACCATAGAATCACAGCTCAATAGCTCAGCTCTTAGTTGCCCGTTTTATGTCGTTGCTAAAGTAACAGGTACTAAGGATCTGGATAAACAAACAAATAAACAAAATAATCAGACTTCTAGTCATCTCTCTCTCTCTCTCCCTTTCTCCCTCCTGTCCCCCCTTTTCTCTCCCCTTCCTCCCCTCTCTCTCTCCCTTTCTCCCTCCTGTCTCCCCTTTTCTCTCCCCTTCCTCCCTTCTCTCTCTCTCTCTCTCCCTCCCTCCCTCCCTCCCCCCTCCCTCCAGTCATTCTATTGGGAGAAGTCCAGGCACCTTCAGGTCCTGACAGAAAGGCGCAGACAGGCGACCCACCTGGACCCCCTGGGTGTGCCCGTGGTTCTGGGCCCTTCCCACCGCCCCCTCGGCCGCGCAAAGTCCTCCCCTGCCTCCACCTCCCTTCCCCCTCCCCATCCCCCACAGCCCACAGACACCCTGCTGTCTCTGGCCAGCACTGGTCCGGAGACCCACACCAAGCTAAGATTCACCACTGGTGAGAGAGACTTGGGGAGTGCTGTACACAATGCTTTATGTTGTATCTCATGGACAGCTTACTATATATTCAGAAGGTGCTGTATGTCCTGTCTATAGAATTACATATTATAATTTAATAGGATCTCTGTGGGTCCCATCCATGTATCTATCTATCTGTCTGACTGGCTGTCTTTCTTTCTACCTATTTCGTATGGTATCTAAACCACAGTGTGTGTTTGTATGTGTGTGTATGTGTGTGTGCGTGCGTGTGTGTAGGTCTGGTGTATGACTCTCAGATGCTGAAGCACCAGTGCACCTGTGGCGACAACAGCCGACACCCAGAGCATGCTGGGAGAATCCAGAGCATCTGGTCCAGACTGCAAGAAAGAGGCCTCAGGAACCAGTGTGAGGTATATATATATATGTATAGTGTTTGTGTGTTATATGATGATATATTACACCAGTGTTTCTCAACCTCTGGTCTGTGGACCGGTGCCGGTCCCTGAGATGGTTTATTGACACCTAATTTAGGAAACCCAGAACTAGAATCTGGCCTAATTGCGTCAGATACTTGCGGGGTGGATGTATAAAAAAATATACTAAAACGAGAATCGGAAGCAGGGCTCCTCTCTCTCTACAAGACTCAGGCAAGTCTATGGGCCAAATGCCCCCTCCCCTTCTGAATTTGGAAAGACGTGCACACCCGCTAAATCATGATTTGTTCAAATAACCAGTGAGGAAAAAACCTGTGCACTGTAACAACTGTTGCTAGAAAGCCGTGGCATCCCACATCCCTCTTTTGACAGATGTTACGATACTATTTATGTTACGTAGTCTATCCACGAGAGATAAACTGAAGCTTAGTAAACGCTACAGTGCTACTTTGTTCAAAGATGATGGGCCAATTTCTAACGCCTACTATGAGCACTGCTGCCACCTAGGGTTACACCCCTACATTGCAGCTCCCTCTACACTGGTCAACTGTGCGAGTGTCTGTTCTTTAATTTGTGTGTGTGTGTGTTAACAGTACATTTTAATGAAGCGTGTGTGTTTGCTCCTGTAGTGTATCTGTAGCAGGAAGGCCTCTCTGGAGGAGCTTCAGTCTGTCCACTCCGAGATGCACGTCCGGCTGTACGGCACCAACCCAATCAATCGCCTCAAACTGGACAACCGCAAGCTGGCTGGTGTGACACACACACACACACACATCTTCACACAGACACACACTCAGTCTTTCTCTATCTTTCACACACGCACATACATACACACACACACACACACACGCACATCTTCACACAGACACACACTCAGTCTTTCTCTATCTTTCACACACGCACATACATACACACACACACACACACACACACACACTCATCTTCACGCACTGACACATACTGTACACACACTCACACCAACACAGCTCTGATGCACCTCATTGTCAAACACTCTCACTCACTTGGGCATTAGGCAAACATCAGTATTTTTGCACACTCATAATCACACACAGACCTATACACATATGCATGGATCATTTGTGACCAACCGCCTCGATTTGGTCTTATGTAGCAAAATTGTAAGTGCTGTTTTTTACTTTGGATAAAAGTAGAGACTCAGTAAACAACCAAAGATTTCAAGACTAAAAGTGGTGAAAGTAGTAGCCTACAATAAGGAAAAACTCCAGGTAAAAATACACATTATCTAGTCCTTGGCCTATATCCTAATCTGACTTTGGTGCAGGTCATGTTGTTCTTCACATTACCGTCTCTGGTAAACACACATTATATTAAATAAAATCCAAATGTATTTGTCACATGCACAGGGTACATGCACAGGGTACAATATGGCCATAATCACCCCAAGACACACCTGGCTAACTTGATGGGTCATGTAATCATCTGGCGAAGTGGAGTCTTTTGCTTAGACATGCAGCTAGCTAGCTATCTAAACAATGAACCATAATCCCAACCCATAGCTACAGTACAAATGGATTGTCATAGCTAGCCACAATGCATGAAATGCTGTAGAATGAATCTGCAGGTAGCTAAAGCTAACCAACTAGGTTCAATGTTATCTAGCTAGCTAACATTAGGTTATAACTAGCAATGCAAATGGATTTCTGAGATACAAATAATATTACTACACAGATCATACAAGTAATGTTAGCTATCGAGCCAGCAAACTAACATTCGCTAGCTAGCGAACAGTACGCTTTAACTTGCAATGAAAGTGACTTTCTAACAAAATTAGAAACCTATAATATCTGAAAATGTAGCTAGACACTTTTTTATATATATATCTTTTTTATATATATTGTTTTCCCTTCATTACTTTCCAACCCCAACACCCCTTCCCTAATTGGAGTAAACTAGTGAACAACAATGCTTAGGCCTCTACTTCCAGCTTATACATTTTATGGACACAGTCAATTTTACAATAATTCAATTTTGTTTGTTTTTACTCCTGAACGTCCTCTACCCTCAACCTCTCCGATCATTTTCATGACGTCCATCCAGTTTGCTTCTATATGCCATATCTTTCTAACTGTGCTCTTTCACAAAAGCTCTCAACCTATAACCTATATACTTATTATGGACACAGTATGCTTTACATTACTTATCTTGTTGTTATTAGTTGTTGTTAGTTGTTATTAGTCCCATCCTTCAGCTCCATTCAACACCTCCCATCTATCTCTTAACACCATCCATATTGGATTTCTATTTGCCATATATTTTTCAACTGTACTGTGATGTTTCACAAAAGTTCTGAACCCTTCTATTCTCATTGTTTCTACAGATTGTAAATTAAAAATAAACATTTTTGCTAAAAGTATTATTATATTATTGATCGATTGACTGACTTTTCAGATTACCCAGTAGTGCTATCTGCAGGGTTAGCTCCAGGTAAATATTTCAATCCTTCAGCCATTCCTGGACCTGTGACCAAAAACAAGCTACAAATGGACAGTACCAAAACAAATGATGTAATGATTCTGTAGCTAGACTCTTACCCGTATACATGGATGAACGCTTCACGGCAGACTGGAACCACTTTAAGTAAGACGTTCTGTGTCTTTTCCGTTTTGTTTGTAGCTAGCTACAGCTTGTTTGGCCCGTTGTGTCAAGCCACTCCGGTTCACACTGGCCCTGTGCAGAAAGTAGTACTTTCTCCCACTGATCTTTGTCGATAGCGCTTGCTAAATTCAGGGCAGAAACGTTGTTGAGAGCAGTAGCAACACTTTTGCAGTTCTCCATGGCTAACATTATATCTTTAAAAAAAGCTGCAGTAGCAAGGATTATCTACACATACTGAGCAGCTCATGTTATAGACAGAAGCGTGCTACATGGCAGACCAATCCGAACTCATCTCTTGGCATGTCCAACCCACCCATTATCTCAGCCAATCATGGCTAGCGGGAAGGTTCCTGTCTTTTTCCGTGGCTAAACCAACTAGGCTCTTAATTTAAATGTTTTATTCGTATTTACAGATGGCATACAAGTTTGTTATTAAGGCACATGAACGTTATCTTATCTTTCTCTTGCAGGAATCTTCTCTCAAAGGATGTTTGTGATGCTACCATGTGGAGGAGTTGGGGTGAGTTACTCAAAATTACACACAAACACACACACACACATACACACACTTACAGTACACAGCTCAACAGACCCTGTAATGCACAATCAAAGAGTCATGTAAAATCTTTCCACTTATCTAATCACATTACAAAATGGCAAACATTACATGCTTGATTATACCTCATTACACAATTAAGCTAATAGGACGACAAATTATGGAGGATGTTGTTGTTGGCAGGGACTTGGTCGAAACGCCAAATAGATATCAAAGACAAAGAAAATGTGAGAGGGAGAGAGAGAGAGGGAGAAAGAGGGAGGGAGAGAGAGAGTGAAAGAGAGAGAGAGGGAGAATGAGGGAGAAAGAGGGAGCGGGAGAGAGAGAGGGGGAGAAAGAGGGAGAGAGAGGGAGAAAGAGAGAGAGAGAGAGGGGGAGAAAGAGGGAGAGAGGGAGAAAGAGAGGGGAAAGGGAGACGAGGGGAAGAGGAGAGAGGAGAGAGAGACTCTGAATTGTTTTTTCAGGAGGACGGGATGTGGGGAAAGAGAGAATATGGACACCAAAGAAGAGGATGAGGCAGGGATGAGTTGAAGAAGAGAAGGGGGGGGGTGAGGAAGAAGTAGGCCTGTATGGTGTTGATAAGGAAAGAGAAAATGCGGACATTGAGGAAGAGGAGAGGAGAAGGAAGGAGATGAGAGAAACAGGGGGAAAATGAAAGTGGAGGAGGAGAGGAGGGTTTGTATCAAATAAATATAAAATATATGCAGACACAGAAGAAGAGGATGAAGAAAAGATGAGTGGAGGAGGAAGATGAGAGAAAGATGAGAGAGGAGAGGAGGAGGAAGGGGCTTTGTATGGTGTTGATAAGACGCCTGATCTGCCTGGATTTCCGGCCCTTGGCTCCTCTGGTCAGGCACACTGATTGGAACAAGATGGCCAAGACGGTGATAAAAGAAATTCCTCTGATTTCATTGTTCCGTCGTGCCAAACCGCCAGAAATGTGGAGTTTTGAAACATGGAATAACAAAGGGAGGGAGGGAGAGAGAGAATCTGAGAACAGGCATACTTTACAACCCCCTTTACACCAGCAGTAAGTCAATGTTGTGGTGATTGGTGTGGGTAAATGTTACCCTTGCCAAACCCTATCCCCTGGCTCCCAATAAGTCACGATACTCTTCATTTAGTTGGAATAAACAGTAGACTTTGTAATCCAATACTGGAGTCCTTCCCACAACCTGTCACCTCAGTTTCCCTATTCCAATGGGTGACTTCCTTTTTACCTCATTGGTCTGACACCTATTTCAACCAATCAACTTATAAATGATGCCCATGTTTCTCCCTGTGGTTATGATTTTTATCCCGACCCTGTCGTAACGTCTTGGTTTTGCGTGATTGACAGGTGGACAACGATACGATCTGGAACGAGACACACACGTCAACGGCGTCTCGCTTGGCAGCAGGCAGCGTGACGGAGCTGGCATTTAGGGTGGCACAGGGAGAGCTGAAGGTGAGACTGCCAATCGCTCATTGTCAACTCCGTTACACCCCCACTTAGTCCTGTCAGAGCTGTAACACAGCTGATCAGAATTGTCAACTCAGTAACATACATCAATACACATTGACATTGAAGCATACTGTATGGTAATTTCTCTTCGTGGTTTATTGAATTTATGAATTTCACATGAAATTGGAATTGAATATGGCTATATCAAAACCTTTCAATGTCACCTGTATTCAACTAATAAAAGTGAAATCGTAAGATTTAGTCAGAGAAAGCCAGAGTCAGTGTTACAGTTTCTATTCCCTCCTCACAGAATGGCTTTGCAGTGGTGAGGCCCCCTGGACATCATGCAGCCCACTCTACCCCCTTGTAAGTACTGCACCACACACACAAACACACACACACGGAACCAGGAGGTCTCTAAAATCATTTCAAAGGGTTCCCTACACATCAAAAGCACCTTTCAGGTGTGTGTTATGTGTGTGTATGGAGTATGTGTGTTACTTACCCAAGGCTAACAGCAATCTACATCTACCCGCGCTGCTCAATTCATGTCCAGCTCTCAGGACATTGTGCTGTCAGCCTACAGCACCATCTCCAAGTGTGTGCATGTGTGTGAGTGTGTGTGTGTGTGTCACCCTTAAATAGAAGGCTTTAGTACGCTTACCACATGCGTGTGTGTGCTTGTCTGCTTGTGTGCTTGCATACGCGTGTGTGTATGCATGCGTCTGTGTGTGCATGTGTGAGTTCACGTATGATCGTGTGTGTACTTAGCAGTGCCTGTCAGTAGTTATTTATGTGTCGATAATGACTTTCTGGAGGAGAAGAGTTGGACGGCAGATATGATCTACAGTTTAGTTCACACTCACCGAGTTCATATCCTGCTGACACCACCGCTTTCAACATTCCTCTTTTGGTTTTCATACATCAACCCTTTCTCTCACACCTTCTCTGTCTCACAATATCATATGAATATTGAGTACGAGTCAGCTTACTCTAAGTTGTTAATGAGAAACACATTCTCTGAAATGCATGAGGAGTGAGGAGGTCACGATAAGTTATTTTACCAGAGCATGTAGAGAGTGTTTTAGTCTTCGTGTTTTGCTTATGTTTTAGTCATGGTTTTCCTTTGTCTGAGATTGTCAGACGCTTACTTGCCGTATCTATTTTCCATCATTCATACTTTGCAACCCTACGTTCTGGTACTGTCCAACCATACCATGCCTAAATATGAGTGCATGTTCAGTGAAACAAGGCATGTTTGACCCATTGGCACTAATGTCCTCACATCACCTAGTTTGTGTATAGTGAGGACGCCCTCACATTATCGTGGGGATATCACCTTTCACTTATATGGGTGTCTATGATGTGATTGTGAGAACATATCCTTAAAAAAGTATTGACTTTACATTGGGTGTCTATGGTGTCATTATGGGGACATGTTCTCATAAGTCTTCACATGTCCCCATATGTGTGTGTCTCACCAAAGGGGTTTCTGCTTCTTCAACTCCGTGGCCATCGCAGCCAAGCAGCTCCAGCACAAACTCAGCGTCAGCAAGATCCTCATTGTGGACTGGGTGAGAGACGGCCGCTATCACTGGTCCCCACATGGGATCTAAACACAGACACACGCGTGCTTACTTGCGTACACAACACACATATTGACCATAAGCTTGGTGTCAGCATTCATGATGATCTCTGCTTTCCACATGACTCAGACCTGCCACAAGTCTGGGCCTAGGCAGACAGACACATGCACGCGCTCTGTCTCTCACACACACACACACATACGCACACACACACACACACACACACACACACACACAGAGTGGGGAAAAAAAGTATTTAGTCAGCCACCAATTGTGCAAGTTCTCCCACTTAAAAAGATGAGAGAGGCCTGTCATTTTCATCATAGGTACACGTCAACTATGACAGACAAAATGAGAGAAATCCAGAAAATCACATTGTAGGATTTTTAATGAATTTATTTGCAAATTATGGTGGAAAATAAGTATTTGGTCAATAACAAAAGTTTCTCAATACTTTGTTATATACCCTTTGTTGGCAATGACACAGGTCAAACGTCTTCTGTAAGTCTTCACAAGGTTTTCACACACTGTTGCTGGTATTTTGGCCCATTCCTCCATGCAGATCTCCTCTAGAGCAGTGAGGTTTAGGGGCTGTCGCTGGGCAACACGGACTTTCAACTCCCTCCAAAGATTTGATATGGGGTTGAGATCTGGAGACTGGCTAGGCCACTCCAGGACCTTGAAATGCTTCTTACGAAGCCACTCCTTCGTTGCCCGGGCGGTGTGTTTGGGATCATTGTCATGCTGAAAGACCCAGCCACGTTTCATCTTCAATGCCCTTGCTGATGGAAGGAGGTTTTCACTCAAAATCTCACGATACATGGCCCCATTCATTCTTTCCTTTACACGGATCAGTCGTCCTGGTCCCTTTGCAGAAAAACAGCCCCAAAGCATGATGTTTCCACCCCCATGCTTCACAGTAGGTATGGTGTTCTTTGGATGCAACTCAGCATTCTTTGTCCTCCAAACACGACGAGTTGAGTTTTTTACCAAAAGGTTCTATTTTGGTTTCATCTGACCATATGACATTCTCCCAATCCTCTTCTGGATCATCCAAATGCACTCTAGCAAACTTCAGACGGGCCTGGACATGTACTGGCTTAAGCAGGATTTGAGTCCCTGGCGGCGTAGTGTGTTACTGATGGTAGGCTTTGTTACTTTGGTCCCAGCTCTCTGCAGGTCATTCACTAGGTCCCCCCGTGTGGTTCTGGGATTTTTGCTCACCGTTCTTGTGATCATTTTCACCCCACAGGGTGAGATCTTGCGTGGAGCCCCAGATCGAGGGAGATTATCAGTGGTCTTGTATGTCTTCCATTTCCTAATAATTGCTCCCACAGTTGATTTCTTCAAACCAAGCTGCTTACCTATTGCAGATTCAGTCTTCCCAGCCTGGTGCAGGTCTAAAATTTTGTTTCTGGTGTCCTTTGACAGCTCTTTGGTCTTGGCCATAGTGGAGTTTGGAGTGTGACTGTTTGAGGTTGTGGACAGGTGTCTTTTATACTGATAACAAGTTCAAACAGGTGCCATTAATACAGGTAACGAGTGGAGGACAGAGGAGCCTCTTAAAGAAGAAGTTACAGGTCTGTGAGAGCCAGAAATCTTGCTTGTTTGTAGGTGACCAAATACTTATTTTCCACCATAATTTGCAAATAAATTCATTAAAAATCCTACAATGTGATTTTCTGGAAAAAATATTCTCAATTTGTCTGTCATAGTTGACGTGTACCTATGATGAAAATTACAGGGCTCTCTCATCTTTTTAAGTGGGAGAACTTGCACAATTGGTGGCTGACTAAATACTTTTTTCCCACTGTACACATACACACACACACACACATAACTACTACTTTATAAGGACAAATAATGTTATATATTTTAGTGTGCACTGAAGGGGATGATGCCAACATTCAGAGCAAGTATTAGACTAGTTTAAGTATACTAGAGAATTAGGAGTCTGACTGCCCCTTGACCTTTCTCACCAATGTCCAGGATGTTCACCATGGGAACGGTACCCAGTCGGTCTTCTACAACGACCCCAGCGTGCTGTACATCTCCCTGCATCGCTATGACAATGGCAAATTCTTCCCCGGCAGCGGGGACCCAGCTGAGGTATGTTAGGTTGCACTATCCAACACCGTATACATCATGCTCTCCCGTTGGTAGATGGAACTGTCCATCAAATACATGATTGGTGTGTTCATTTGGAAAAGAAAACGTCTGAGCAAGCACCGAACAGATTGGGTCAGCCCATTAGTCTGAAAACCCCTTCAGCGTCTGTTACCACCCATCAAATACCCCACCACCCAACCCCATTTTCCCATTCTCACAAAACTGTGAGGATGAAAAAGTGGATGTTTTCCCGTAAACTTCATCATGAGGGGATGGTCCATATGAAACTGTGCTGGCTTGGATGTGGCTTTGCCTTAAATGGCCACACGACCTCCACTGAGCTGTTTGGTAAACCTCTGAAGTCTCTGTGTCCCTCAACCACAGCACCATGTATCTACATAACACACTAGGGGGTAGCGGTGATGTCACCACATCACCATGTATCTATATAACACACTAGGGTGTAGCGGTGATGTCACCACAGCACCATGTATCTATATAACACACTAGAGGGTAGCGGTGATGTCACCACAGCACCATGTATCTATATAACACACTAGAGGGTAGCGGTGATGTCACCACAGCACCATGTATCTATATAACACACTAGGGGGTAGCGGTGATGTCACCACAGCACCATGTATCTATACAACACACTAGAGGGTAGCAGTGATGTCACCACAGCACCATGTATCTATACAACACACTAGAGGGTAGCAGTGATGTCACCACAGCACCATGTATCTATACAACACACTAGAGGGTAGCGGTGATGTCACCACAGCACCATGTATCTATATAACACACTAGAGGGTAGCGGTGATGTCACCACAGCACCATGTATCTATATAACACACTAGAGGGTAGCGTGATGTCACCACAGCAGCATGTATCTATATAACACACTAGAGGGTAGCGGTGATGTCACCACAGCAGCATGTATCTATATAACACACTAGAGGGTAGCGGTGATGTCACCACAGCACCATGTATCTATATAACACACTAGGGGGTAGCGGTGATGTCACCACAGCACCATGTATCTATATAACACACTAGAGGGTAGCGGTGATGTCACCACAGCACCATGTATCTATATAACACACTAGAGGGTAGCGGTGATGTCACCACAGCACCATGTATCTATATAACACACTAGAGGGTAGCGTGATGTCACCACAGCACCATGTATCTATATAACACACTAGAGGGTAGCGGTGATGTCACCACAGCACCATGTATCTATATAACACACTAGAGGGTAGCGGTGATGTCACCACAGCACCATGTATCTATATAACACACTAGATGGTAGCGGTGATGTCACCACAGCACCATGTATCTATATAACACACTAGGGGGTTGCGGTGATGTCAACACAGCACCATGTATCTATATAACACACTAGATGGTAGCGGTGATGTCACCACAGCACCATGTATCTATATAACACACTAGAGGGTAGCGGTGATGTCACCACAGCACCATGTATCTATATAACACACTAGGGGGTAGCGGTGATGTCACCACAGCACCATGTATCTATACAACACACTGGGGGGTAGCGGTGATGTCACCACAGCACCATGTATCTATATAACACACTAGAGGGTAGCGTGATGTCACCACAGCACCATGTATCTATATAACACACTAGAGGGTAGCGGTGATGTCACCACAGCACCATGTATCTATATAACACACTAGAGGGTAGCGGTGATGTCACCACAGCACCATGTATCTATATAACACACTAGAGGGTAGCGTGATGTCACCACAGCACCATGTATCTATATAACACACTAGGGGGTTGCGGTGATGTCAACACAGCACCATGTACAGTGAGGGAAAAAATTATTTGATCCCCTGCTGATTTTGTACGTTTGCCCACTGACAAAGACATGATCAGTCTATAATGTTAATGGTAGGTGTTTTTGAACAGTGAGAGACAGAATAACAACAACAAAATCCAGAAAAACACATGTCAAAAATGTTATACATTTATTTGCATTTTAATGAGGGAAATAAGTATTTGACCCCTCTGCAAAACATGACTTAGTACTTGGTGGAAAAACCCTTGTTGGCAATCACAGAGGTCAGACGTTTCTTGCAGTTGGCCACCAGGTTTGCACACATCTCAGGAGGGATTTTGTTCCACTCCTCTTTGCAGATCTTCTCCAAGTCATTAAGGTTTCGAGGCTGACGTTTGGCAACTCTAACCTTCAACTCCCTCCACAGATTTTCTATGAGATTAAGGTCTGGAGACTGGCTAGGCCACTCCAGGACCTTAATGTGCTTTTTCTTGAGCCACTCCTTTGTTGCCTTGGCCGTGTGTTTTGGGTCATTGTCATACTGGAATACCCATCCACGACCCATTTTCAATGCCCTGGCTGAGGGAAGGAGGTTCTCACCCAAGATTTGACGGTACATGGCCCCGTCCATCGTCCCTTTGATGCGGTGAAGTTGTCCTGTCCCCTTAGCAGAAAAACACCCCCAAAGCATAATGTTTCCACCTCCATGTTTGACGGTGGGGATGGTGTTCTTGGGGTCATAGGCAGCATTCCTCCTCCTCCAAACACGGCAAGTTGAGTTGATGCCAAGAGCTCGATTTTGGTCTCATCTGACCACAATACTTTCACCCAGTTCTCCTCTGAATCATTCAAATGTTCATTGGCAAACTTCAGACAGCCCTGTATATGTGCTTTCTTGAGCAGGGGGACCTTGTGGGCGCTGCAGGATTTCAGTCCTTCACGGCGTAGTGTGTTACCAATTGTTTTCTTGGTGACTATGTTCCCAGCTGCCTTGAGATCATTGACAAGATCCTCCTGTGTAGTTCTGGGCTGATTCCTCACCGTTCTCATGATCATTGCAACTCCACGAGGTGAGATCTTGCATGGAGCCCCAGGCCGAGGGAGATTGACAGTTATTTTGTGTTTCTTCCATTTGCGAATAATCGCACCAACTGTTGTCACCTTCTCACCAAGCTGCTTGGCGATGGTCTTGTAGCCCATTCCAGCCTTGTGTAGGTCTACAATCTTGTCCCTGACATCCTTGGAGAGCTCTTTGGTCTTGGCTATGGTGGAGAGTTTGGAATCTGATTGATTGATTGCTTCTGTGGACAGGTGTCTTATACAGGTAACAAACTGAGATTAGGAGCACTCCCTTTAAGAGTGTGCTCCTAATCTCAGCTCGTATAAAAGACACCTGGGAGCCAGAAATCTTTCTGATTGAGAGGGGGTCAAATACTTATTTCCCTCATTAAAATGCAAATCAATTATTAACATTTTTGACATGCGTTTTTCTGGATTTTTGTTATTGTTATTCTGTCTCTCACTGTTCAAATAAACCTACCATTAAAATTATAGACTGATCATTTCTTTGTCAGTGGGCAAACGTACAAAATCAGCAGGGGATCAAATACTTTTTTCCCTCACTGTATCTATATAAATCACTAGAGGGTAGCGTGATGTCACCACAGCACCATGTATCTATATAACACACTAGAGGGTAGCGGTGATGTCACCACAGCACCATGTATCTATATAACACACTAGGGGGTAGCGGTGATGTCACCACAGCACCATGTATCTATATAACACACTAGAGGGTAGCGGTGATGTCACCACAGCACCATGTATCTATATAACACACTAGAGGGTAGCGGTGATGTCACCACAGCACCATGTACAGTGAGGGAAAAAAGTATTTGTTCCCCTGCTGATTTTGGACGTTTGTCCACTGACAAAGACATGATCAGTCTATAATTTTAATGGTAGGTTTATTTGAACAGTGAGAGACAGAATAACAACAAAAAAATCCAGAAAAACGCATGTCAAAAATGTTATAAATTGATTTGCATTTTAATGAGGGAAATAAGTATTTGACCCCTCTGCAAAACATGACTTAGTACTTGGTGGCAAAACCCTTGTTGGCAATCACAGAGGTCAGACGTTTCTTGTAGTTGGCCACCAGGTTTGCACACATCTCAGGAGGGATTTTGTCCCACTCCTCTTTGCAGATCTTCTCCAAGTCATTAAGTTTTCGAGCCTGACGTTTGGCAACTCAAACCTTCAGCTCCCTCCACAGATTTTCAATGAGATTAAGGTCTGGAGACTGGCTAGGCCACTCCGGGACCTTAATGTGCTTCTTCTTGAGCCACTCCTTTGTTTCCTTGGCCGTGTGTTTTGGGTCATTGTCATGCTGTAATACCAATCCATGACCCATTTTCAATGCCCTGGCTGAGGGAAGGATGTTCTCACCCAAGATTTGACGGTACATGGCGCCGTCCATCGTCCCTTTGATGTGGTGAAGTTGTCCTGTCCTCTTAGCAGAAAAACACCCCTAAAGCATAATGTTTCCACCTCCATGTTTGACGGCGGGGATGGTGTTCTTGGGGTCATAGGCAGCATTCCTCCTCCTCCAAACACGGCGAGTTGAGTTGATGCCAAAGAGCTCGATTTTGGTCTCATCTGACCACAACACTTTCACCCAGTTCTCCTCTGAATCATTCAGATGTTCATTAGAAAACTTCAGACGGGCCTGTATATGTGCTTTCTTGAGCAAGGGGACCTTGCGGGCGCTGCAGGATTTCAGTCCTTCACGGCGTAGTGTGTTACCAATTGTTTTCTTGGTGACTATGTTCCCAGCTGCCTTGAGATCATTGACAAGATCCTCCTGTGTAGTTCTGGGCTGATTCCTCACCGTTCTCATGATCATTGCAACTCCACGAGGTGAGATCTTGCATGGAGCCCCAGGCCGAGGGAGATTGACAGTTATTTTGTGTTTCTTCCATTTGCGAATAATCGCACCAACTGTTGTCACCTTCTCACCAAGCTGCTTGGCGATGGTCTTGTAGCCCATTCCAGCCTTGTGTAGGTCTACAATCTTGTCCCTGACATCCTTGGAGAGCTCTTAGGTCTTGGCCATGGTGGAGAGTTTGGAATCTGATTGATTGATTGCTTCTGTGGACAGGTGTCTTTTATACAGGAAACAAGCTGAGA